CAACCTGCCATCTCAAGGTCAGCGGATTAACAACCTTAATTCCTCTTTGCCATGTAACGTGACGTTTCCCAGGTTCCAGGGATGAGGACGTGGACATCTCCAGGCGGCTGTTATTCTGCCTACCACACCACACCCCTCAGGCCGGAACCCTGGTGATCCCCTCACCCCACAACATCCAGCCCATCAGTGAATCCTGCACGTTCCTCCTCCACAGGCCCTGAACCTGTCCCCTCCTGTCCGACCCCACCGCCGCTGCCCTCATATTCCCCGTCCAGGGCCCACTTCCTCTGTCGCCTTCTTCCAGGAGGATGAATAGGACCGTGGTGCCACCCTTCCGTGCCTTCCCATGGCTCGTAGGACCCCAAATCTCCTCCACAGCCCTCACAGCCCTGGGTGCTGGGTGCTCCCGACCTTCATCTCACACACCGCCTCATGGCTCCCCGCCCCCAGGGCCACTGGTCTCCCAGCAGGGTGTGTCCCCTGCCAGGAGAAAGGGCACTATTTACATATCTATGTGCTTACTGTCTCCTCAGCCTTGGTCTCTGAAAGCCACAGCTCAGCATGGCCCCTGGCACCAGGAAGGTGCTCCTAAGTAGTGTCTGAATGAATGAATTACCCCCAACAACTGCTCTCCTTCCGATGAGGAGTGATGGTGGCCTGCTGAGCTGACAGTCTCATTGGCTCAGAGACTCCTCATTGCTCTGACAGCTATAAGCTGAAAGCTGTCACAACCACGCCACCGTGGGCTGCCTTCTACGCCAGCTCTACCCCAGGCACCCACAGCCTTGCCACATTCCATTTGGGCCTTTCTTGCCACCATCCCACTTACAAATGTCAATGCTCACTGCCTCAGCTGCCAGCATACCCTCCGTCAGCAGAGCACACTGCCAGGCAGCGCTAACATAGCAGGAACGGGACCCACTGAAAGGCTGTCTGTTCTCACACCCAGTGTGCTAGGATTTTGTCTTGGCATTTCAAGTGAAGTGTGGCAAGAACGCCAACTGCACTGCAGAAGCCACAGCCCCTGGGGGGCCGAGCCAGTGGGTGGCTCAAGAAAGAACAGGCCCCAGAGACTTGGACAGATGCTGACCCTTTTCTGATTCTTATCCCCCACCTGCTGATTCTTATCAAGCCCGCCATCCTATCGTCTCTCACCTGAATGTCACAACAGCCTCCTAACTGGCCTCCCTGCCTCTGCCCTCTCAGCCCCCAACTGCCTTCAACACAGCAGCCCAGGTAATCCTGCCACACCCAAGGCAGGTCACACCACTCCTCTGCCAAGAAGCCTCCCAGGGGCCCCTTCACTCAGGATAAAAGACTGAAAGTCCATGTCTTCACTGTGACCGCGAGGCCCACCCCCGGGCCCGGGGCCCCAGACGCTCTCCCTCTCCCTCGGCTCTCATGACCCCTTTGCTCTTCTCCTCAAACACACCATCTCCGCTCCCAAACCGGCGCCTCTGCACTGGCTAGTCCTCTGCCTGGACCACTCGCCCCCATCACTCAGGGGGGCCTGTTCCCTCACCTCCTGCAAATCTTGCTCAAATGTCACCTCCTCCGTGAGGGTCCCCGGCCACTCGATCACCATGAAACCCTCCCATGCACCTGCTTCCAAGTGCGCAGTTCCCTGCTTCGTCCTGAGAGCAGTTGTCACCTTCTAACAGCTCACGCTCTGCTTCGCTCAGGTATTCTCTACCGCGAGCTCTGTGCGAGCGCAGATCTGGGTCTGCGTCCTCCACTGATCCGTCTCCAGCACCTGCAACTGTTACCGGCACACGGTATGGGTTATGAACATTTACAGAACGAACAAATTATCCAACTCTCCAAATGTCCAAGAGGCCTTCTTCTCTCATTCTCATCAGAAAGAATCAGATGAGGCCAAACAAACGTCCTCCTGCAGGTCACAGCCACTTCCGTCTAATGCAGCTCCCTCCAGTTACACATGCAGGAATTGACAGCGCCAGGAGCAACACGACCCAGTGACAGAGGCTAAAACCCAGACCACGGACTCCCATCAGAGGTCTTTCCACACATCCTGCCTTGTCCATAGAAGAAATGTCTAAGAAAGCACCAGGCACACACACAACCTAAGAGCCGTGGTGTGCAGAGGACAGGGGTCTACACGCAAGACCACCTCTCAGGCAGCGTGAGACCTTGGCCAAGTGACTTATTCCGTCTAGGTTAATCTGGAAGATAGTTTTGATCAAGCACCATTTATCAGCACTAACAATGCAAAGATGAGGAAGGCACATGCCCTGAACTTGGCAGAGCTCACCGTCTAGTAAAGGAACGCAGCAAAAACCAACGAACTTAAGTCTGGTGCAAAAAAGGGCACGTTAGTCCAGACTGCATGAAAACAGGCAAGGCTTTGCAAGGAAGTGCGAGGGAGGTGAATTTTAAAAATTCAAATAGTAATAATGACCAGGCATAAAGGAGGCTCTGAGAGCAAGCAACTGACAGAAGCATCCTACAGCATGCCCACCAAGAAACCTGCAAGTCCATCGGCACCACTCAGGGTGAAGTTCAAGCACGGGGGGTGGGAGATACGGCTGAAGAACTACGCCGGGGTCAGGCCTTAGGCATCACACCAGAACACCTCCGCTTCTCAGCACGGTGTTTCGGGGCTCTTAAACCAGGGCTGTCTCAGTGAGCATCACGTGGAAGACAGAGCACGTGTTTTGTGAATTCTAAAATGCTGGGGAGACTGTACACTGTACAGCATCAAGAATAGCTGTAAGTGCTCAGTGACCACCAGCCATGAGTGGCACAAGGAAGTACCATGTGGGAATTATCATTAAGGAATTACTGATTATTAAAGGTTGCCTACATAAAAAACCCTTAAGTTATGTGCTTTGTGGTAGGTGCATTCCTCCTCCTCTGAGTTCCTCTGGGTTGAGGTCCACACTCAAAAAAACAGTCGAACAATCATGGGAAGAACTGAAAGCACTGGAAAAGCCCAAGTCTGGCCAGGACCCTGACAGCACTGCCCTTGTGCAGGTCAAGACTGGGTACAAGGCGAGTGGTCGCCATGGTCTCCCAGTAGGAGAAAGCACAGACCTTTGCAGCTCCTCCTGTCACCTGAAACAGCGGCACTGCCAGCGGCAAGGCCACAGGAGGCAGGCGGCACACAGCAGCTGTGCAGGCCTCTCTGGCGGGCCTGCTCTCCGCACGGACGGCCTCTAACAGTTCTCCAAGACTCCACCGCCACTCCGCAACTGGAACACGGGAGCTGCGCTCAGAAACTCCGAAGACACAGCACCACACCAAAATCAAAGGAAAAAGCAAGTCTCACAGGAGAAAGTGGACGGCTGTACTAGTTTCCTGTGTTTGTGACAACGCTCTCACCGCTCCGGAGGCTAGAAGCTCAAAATGAAGCCATCGGCAAGGCCGCGCTCCCTCTGGAGTGTCCAGAGGAGCACCCTTCCTCGCTTCTCCGGCTTCCACTGGTTTCCAGGATCCCTTGGCTGATAGACAAACCGCCCCCATCTCCGCCTCCCTCTTCACATGCCATCCTCCCTACGTCTGTCCCTCCTCTTCTAAGGACCCCCCGTCACTGGACTAGGGCTCACTCTAAAACTGTACGACCTAATTTTAACTTGGTTACATTTGCAAAGACCCTATTTCCAAATAAAGTCATATTCACAGGTTCCAGATAGACGTGAAATTTGGGGGCACATTATTGAACCCAAACCAAGGGCAAATTACCAAGAGACACAGTCATCAATCCAAAGGTTTATTCACCATTATAACTTCATACAGGAGCTCAAATATCCTTGTATCTCGGTTGGTTGTTAAGAATTAGCTTATTTAGACTGAGGAGGAACCAAATCCCAAGGTCTAAAACCAACATGCAGAAGTTCTACTCCCACGTGGCTCCTTTTCTCCGGAGTCCATGTCTGGAGCGAGGGTCCCTGGCACTACGAGGGGCACGCCTATGCGCCGCCATTCCAGAGTTTTCACATCGTCTTGGACGTTGGTTTTGGTGAAAGTTTTTGTTCTTCAATCAAACTCAATCCTATAGAGTAAAATAGGGTCTTCGGCCACTTTTGGTGACCGTCCCCCACCCCCACCCCCAAAATCGCTGCGTCTGCGCTGCCCGTAACTCCCTCCCGCTAACTCCCAGGTCTCGCTTCTGGCGGGACACAGTGAATCCCAGTGTCTACAGTTCTACCCCTCAAACAACGGTGTGTGTCACGCAACTCGCATGAGGAAGCCGTGCTTTGTGAATGATTCTACAAAGGGTTATTTTAATACTGTAATTCGCAATTTTCAGTATCTCGGGCTTCGGTTTCCAAACCGAACAAATGGTGTTTAGAAATCCTGAAGTTTATCTTCTAATCTATTTTCACCAAGAGCTGCCGGCCAGAGCTCAGGGACACGCCAACCAGGCGAGGACTTTGGAGCCGTACAGCTTCCAGGGTGCACCCAGGTCACCGCAGTCACTTAAATTTCTCTTTTTTTTTTTTTTTAACTTTTTGCTTCCTGCTGCTGACTCAAGACAGGGGCTGGTTTTGAGGCCAAAAGCGGGAACATGGAAATTCGCCGGGAGCCTCACTGCCCCTTCCTCGCTCGAAGCACACGCAGCAGCCCCCGCAAGAGGGACAAGGCCAGTCAAGCGGGTCAGAGCCGCCGCGCCCCGCGCGGACGCCCATCTCGCCGGCAGGCACGGCCTGTCGCGGCCCGTGTCCGGACTCCACCGAGCTCTTCGCACCACGACCCGAGTCGCGGCCTGGCAGCTTCCCCAGGGAGCCCGGGGGTTCGCGGAAGGCAGCCCGCCAGGCTCGGGACAGACCTGCCGGCGGCTTCCCCGCCTCCTTTCCAGCCTCGCTCCTACGTGAAGCCACTGCCGTCTCCCAGACCTCACGCTCCCACCCCCGGGCGGGCGCCTCAGCGCCCAGGCCACCCCACCCCAGGCCGGGGCTCGACCCGCAGCCCAGCAGGCCGCCGCGCCCCCCCTGACCCCTGACCCCTGACCCCGACCCTGTCCTCCCCGTCACACCCACCTGCCCGGGACCTTGCTGGTGCTGCGCTTCCAGAACTGCTTCCTGGCCCCGTCGCTGGCCATGGCCGCTCTTCATCCCTCAGACCTGCGGCCCCGACACCCCGAGCGCTGCTGGCCCGCCCCGGCGGCCCTTCGCTGTACCCCGGGTGGCCCCTCCGCCGTCCCGGGACTCCCGAGCTCAGAGCCGAGAGGCTCTTCCGCCTCCCTCCGGAAGTTGTGTCTCCGCGCACTCGGAAGTCCCGCCTCCGTCCCAGGAGCGCGTGACGCACGGAGCGGGGCGCCCGACGACATTAAAGGGCGACGCCAAGAGGCGTCGCGGGGGAAATGCGGCGGCCTGGGTCTGGCCCCGGGTCCCCTTAAGGGCGAAGCCGCAGATCAATAAGGACGTCACAAGGAGTTCAGTTATGTTATTATGTTTTATTTCTTAAGGCAGTGGATGTATTCAGTTTTTGTTATATTCTTTATGATTTTTTGCACTTATAAATTGTTTCATAGCACATTAAAATATAATTATGGAGCTCTTCTAGGCTATGCACTGAGCTACTTGACACTCTTTTTGGAAAAGACAAATATAAGGGATGCATGGACAATATTCATGGAGAGGCTTAGAGTCAGAACGACTGATAAGCTTTGTGACTATTGTTTAAGGTTGAGTAGGTGTGACCAGGCAAAAATGCAAGAAGTCATTCCAGGCAAAGGAAAGTCATTGCTGAAGCAAGGAGACGAGAAAACCAGAGTGCTGGATGACACGTTAGTATTTAGTAAGGCTAGATTTGTGCTGTAGGGTTCGCAGGAAACAAGGAGAGACATATCTGCATGCAGGTGGCTTACAGGGGAGAAGTTGAACTGTGATGGGCTGTGATGGAGCATGAGGCAAACCCTAGGGATGGCGCTCCAGAGATGTCCTGCATCGAGACAAGTGGGTGGAGCCTTAACGCTGCTGCGCAGAGCAGTGACTGATTGTGGGCTGCCCCCTGGGAGGAGATGCATAACGGAGAAAGGAAGCACCCTGCAGCTGAGAGCAGTTCCCAAGGAGGGACTTACCTCTGAGCCATCAGCTGCCAACACTCTCCCCTCCACCCTTCCCCTTCACAGCTGGCCACACCTTCGTGTGTGGTCCCGCCCCTGTAGGAAGCCAGCTGTGGTCTTCTGACTGAGGCCCCCCACACCTGGGTGAGGTGATGTTCTCTCTGCTGGGGTCAGATGGAGCCTTTCAGGGTCAGATGATCTCGGACTGAGTCATCCACTTACCAGGAAAAACTACGGCTTTGGAAGGGGGAAAGGGAAGCAAACCCCGGCGCAAAATGGCCCAGAGCACACATAGTGCCCACCTGGACCAGGGGAGAGAGAAGGTGCGCTCCTGGCTCCTTGGTCAGCCCCCAGCACTCTGGCTCTCCTTTGTCCCTGTCCTCCACGGCCACTTCTGAGATGGGACTGGGGAGGATGTCGTTTCTGGGAGCTGCAGGACTTCAGCAGCTCAGTTCCCAATGGCCAAGGCTGGAGGCCTGGGGGGTTAGCCTGGGGGCCGAGCTATGGGCAGCCAGGCTTGAGATTTCCCTACCAACACAGCCACCCTAAAATCTTAGTAAGTTTCAGCCCATTTGTTTCTAGTCAATTCTAAGGGCTGGGAGCCACAGCCAAAAACCTTACTTCGTGGGTAGAATTTAAACTAGAAATTTCTGTCTCCTAGCAGCAGTAGGGCCCGCTATTCTGCCTAAACATCCCCTCCCCACCCTCTTAGTTTGTTGTTTTCTGCTGTGAGGACATTGAAATAGCCTCGGGTGATGAAATGCCAATTATGTGCTTTGCTACAGTCTGCATCCCAGCTGTCCACAAAAAGGAGGCATGTCCTCTTTGTCTGAGGGAGACATGCGTCTGGGGATGTGCTGGAGACGGGCCTGGGGCTGGGCTGCGCTGGGCTGAGCTGGGCATCCTCTGGGCTCCTACCCCAGGATGTTCCCCTCCTAAGTCACCAGCCTGCCAGCTGAGCTCTCATAACCGTAGCTTGGAGAAAAGGCTTTGTTTTCTTCGCCTCTACTAAACACCTGATTATTCAGTTCTTTAAAAAGCGGCATTTTCTGGCTCCTCTGAGTTCAGGTGGGCCAGTTTCAGACTTATGATGTCTCAGTGTCTTTCATGGGACCTCAGTGAGTCAGCCACGACGCCTCTGCGTTGTGAGGCTCCCCGCTGACTCTCTTGGTGTTTCAGTCTCACAGGCACATAGCCCATGGCCCCAGGTAAAGAGGTGACATTATGTTTGTATTAGCCTCCCAGTGCTGCTGTGGCAAATTACCCCAAACTAAGTGGCTGAAAACATCATAAATTATTCTCTTACAGTTCTGGAGGTCAGAAGTCCAAAATCAGCCTCAGTAGGTCACCGTCAAGGGCGTGGTCAGGGCTGCGTTCCGTCTAGACTGCAGCGGTTCTCAACCTGTGGGTCGCGACCCCTTTGGGGGTCGAACGACCCTTTCACAGGGGTCGCCGGGTACTCGTATGTGGGCGTATCTGCATGTGGGCCTGGAGACGGATAGAGGAGCGGTGTCTCGGTTCCTAAGACCATCGAAAATATGTGTTTTCCGATGGTCTTAGGTGACCCCTGAGAAAGGTTGAGAACCGCTGGCTAGAGGCTCCAGAGCAGAGGCTGCTCTGGTCTCTCCAGCTTCTAGTGGCCGTCCACATTCCTTGGCTTGCAGCCCCTTCCTCCATCTTGAAAGCTGGACACTCCAACCCCTGCCTAATTTATCACATCATCTTCTCTCACTCTGATTCCTCCGGGATCCCTCTTACAGGGACCTGCCCAGGTTATCCAGAAGGGTCTCCCCATCTTAGGGCCTTTAACCACACCTGCAAGCTCCCTTTTGCCGTATAAGGAAACAGTCATGGTTCTAGACCAGGGGTCGGCAAACTTTTGAGACAGGGAAGAGTCGCCAGGGGTCAGCAAACCGCGGCTCGCGAGCCACATGCGGCTCTTTGGGTACGTACGTGTGGCTCTGAAGTAAAATTGAAAATGAAAATAAAACGATCACAGTTTCATTTATGAAACTTGTAAAGGATATTATTCACATAATGGAGATTATGGGAAAATATATTTATGGCCCTCAAATAATTTTTAAATTGTTGTGAGGGACAGGATTGGCTCTTCCAGGGGTTGGCAAACTTTTAAGACGGAACATACCCAGAGAGCCTCATGTGGCTCACGAGCCGCAGTTTACCGACCCCTGTTCTAGGGGATTGGGCAAGGAGATCTTTGGGGGCCATTACTCAGCCAACCACAATTCATGGCACAGAGCAAAGGTTCCCAATTTTCCCCATGAGAGACGGGGTCCTTCTCCCTTCCCTTTCCCCCCACCTCTAACTCAATTCAGCCATTTCTAGAATTTAAGGTCTGCCCCTAGCAACATCCCACTTCCTGGTACTAAATTCTGCGAGAGTTAGGACATTGGTAGTTTCAAAAAGGACAAAACCCAGCTCAGATCTGCTTACACAATCCTTTGAGGCCGAAAGCTTTTCTGAAAGAAATGGCTTATTGAGCCACGTGCTAGCCAGAAAAAGGACCAGGTCCGGGGGCATGCGGTCTAAACCACCAGTAGTAGGGCTCTTTTATACAATGAGTTTGGACAAGAAAGATATAAGTTGTTTTAAAAGAATTGAAGCAGGTCAGCCGAGTGGCTCCTTGGTTGAGAGTTGGATTGGGAGCACGAGCTCTGAGCGGTGGGGCCGCCAGTTCGGATCCCACCTGAGCCAGTGACAGCTGAGATGGTGAATGGTGGCTCGACCTGGAGCTGGGCTGCCTTGAGGCACGGGCATCGGCGTAGGCTGCTGTGGGGCTGCAGTGGGCTGCCATAAGCTACTGTGAGTGGCCGACAGCCAGCATGAGCAGCCGGCAGCTGGCGTGGGCTGCCGTGAGCCACCGTGATTGGCCGTCCAATGGCTGGCGAGCGACTGCCTCACCCGGGAAGAGCGCAATCATCACAATACCAACATGGGCCAGTGGAGCGACGTCCTCCACAGCTAGACTGAGGAACAAAGGGACAGCAGCTTGTCTGTCCCCCTTCCCCGATTCCCCAACGCTGTTAGCTCCCCCAATTCCCCAATAAAATCTGAAAAAAAAAATTTTTAAAGAATTGAGGGGGTGGGAGGAGGTGAAGCGGGGCTAGTTCTGGGATAGGCTCAGAGTCCGTAAGGGAGAAATGTCCGATTCTGCGGCCAACAGTCCAAGTTCATACGGAAGCACAATGGCGCGGCACCTGGTGGCCGGCCAGACTCTCTAATCGTGGAAATAGCCACCTGGAAGTTAATTCGGAGTTTCCACAGGCGCTCAGGAATGTAAGCAGTGTTTTGTTGGTTTTGCCCTGCAGCTGTTAACTGATTAACCTTGTCTGTCTCTTCAGTCCCCCCTCCAGCCTGCTGTCATTAATTCAGAGCATCTCAGCATTTTGTCCTTGTCACACTGTAAAGGGAATTTCTTGGCTTCCGTAGCTGAACAAGCCCAGAGGTGACTGAGTTTGGAGAAGGTCTGATACAGCTGCTGGACAGTGACACCTTGAGGTCACAGGATGCCAACCAGGGAAGGGTGGCATGGACGCTGGGAGGAAGCCCATGTCCACCACATTCCCAAAGGCAGGAGCCATGTTGAGAAAAACTGATAGATTTGCCGACCTAACATGTTAACTTATTTGTTAATTTTTTTTTTTAAGATTTTATTGGGGAATTGGGGGAGGGGAACAGACAGGTAGACAAATTCCTGTTTTGTCCTTTAATCTTCAGTCTAGTTGTGGAGAACGTCACTTCACTGGCCCATGTTGATATGATCATTGCGCTCTTCCTGGGTGAGGCAATTGGTCACCAGTCATTGTTCGACTGCTCACTGCGGCTCATAGCAGATCTCTCCCACTGCCGGCCGCTCACGTAGCTCACGGCTGCCCGCTGCAGCTCCACTGCAGCCCCACTGCAGCCTACACCATCACTGGCGACTCACAACAGCCCAGCTCCAGGTCAAGCTGTTGTTCACCATCTTAGCTATAGAGGGCAGCATCACTGGCCCTCATGTGGGATCAGAACTGCAGCCCTGCTGCTCAGAGCTGGCGTCCCAAGCGAGCTCTTAACCAGCTGAGCCACTCGGCCGGCCCATTTGTTAATTTTTTTAAATTGGACAAAATATATGTACCATGTCTGACACAAGGTTAATATATGGAAATCTTACAAAAAAGGAAGTAAAAGGCCCCAAT